ACAACCTGTATGACACAAGGAAACAAATTTCATATGATACGCCTGCGCATTAGAGTAATATTTTCGAATGTACATAACCTTAACGGGTATGACGTCCAATATAATCGGAAAGACAACAGACGTCGTTGATTTAAATTTATTTTTGAAATCGAGATCTTGGTTAATATTATAAAACTTCTCAATGCTTGGACTATCGCATCCAGCGCCGGAAGCCGCAAATTTCTGTTTTTGTAATTGGGTTACTTCACCTTGTTCAGGTTTGGCCATTTTTGGTACTCCTCCAATAACAGTGTAACTTCTTCTCGATTCCACGACATTATGAATAAACAATAACAATAAACGCTTCTTCGTACGACTCGAACAGGACCACACCTACAAATGTTAAGTGAGGTTATGTTGTTGACGTTGACATTTGATAATGACATGCACGGAAATAACCCTCTGCGCCGATTCTCGCGCATAATCTATAGAACGGGTTTTATATTTTTACCATGAAAATTTTCACAAGAATTCTTTTAGGTGTAATACGACAGCAAAAATTTTCGGCATAATTATGACCATAATTTTCGGAGTAATTCTCTTGTGTGTAAAACGGCTCTAATACAAAGAAGTCGCTCTTGTGATCAGTTGATCAGCTCAGTAGACGTCAAAACGTAATGGATGCTCGTGAAAAATACCATATCTACTCTTTCGACAACATTCCGTAATTTTACCGAACTATCTAGCGCGTCGAGGTGATACACCACCGGCAGCGATGCTTGTAACAAGATAATCTTCTTCTAACCTTTGTCCCTTTCTCTTTCGCTTTAACGCAACAACCTGCATTCTACCGCCAACAAAGTAGAAATTGACACCACACCTTTTCATTGTATTGTCCGTCCGCGTCTCCGACTTGCCCAGTTCGCCTAATTCGATAATTGTCAGTATGCAAGTATGAGATCAAGTAGGCGTCGGGATGCCTTCCATCTACTCGTACTTTCACACACGATCGCTATTTGATTTGTAGTGCAGTCAGTACGACGATCCGTGGCGGTCATCGAGGTGCTTTTAGCGACCAATGGACGAGAGGATCAGAACTGGGATAAGTCTAATCAAAATTCCAAATCAGCGGATGGATCTGCATGTACACTACCGTTCAAAAGTATTTGAACACCGGCATATTTCCATTTGAAAGCATATCAAACAAAAAACTAACCAGTACGTATACAGGGTGCGCCATCTTTTATGTCGGTATTGAAACATCGAATGACCTTGATATACAGGGTGTCCCAGAAGTCGACGTCAAGCCGAAACCGGGTGATAGGCAAAGTCATAACAGCTATCAGAAAAATATTTAAAAAAATTTTATGTATGTGTTTTGAAAATTATAGGTCTTTGAAAAAGATATAGAAATTTCACACCCTACGGCAGTCTGTCAACTCCTGTTACTACAAATATTAACTTTTTTGGATTTTATTTTTACAATGTAATGATGAATAATGCATCTTCAAACTGGTGTCACAACCTTACTGCCAACTTTTCTCGTTCAGGAAAAATTGCCACTTATTTCCCAACCAAGTATTCCAAAGTAAAACTTTGCTCAACATTAACTGGCTGTACTGGAAAAAATGTACTACGCGAGTTTGGCAAGTAACCTTAAAAGTTGGCGCATTTGATAACGATTCCAAAATGGTATAACACTTAGAAGATTACTCGTTAACTTATGCACAATTTTTATTTGAAAAAAAACTGATGAAAATTTTTCAAAATTTCCTAATTAAACAGCGATTATGAAAACGCACAAGGACCCTTAAGGATAACTGTTTGCACAACAGTGGGCGTCAAAATGCTGCTGATGATGATTTACCTTTACAGCAAATGCTCAAACTGTTTTCCTTCAGCCGCAATACACGATCGACATCTTCTTAAAAAAGATCGGGTTATTAAACGAGCGAATCCACGGTTATTAACAAACTCAGCTGCTTCCAATAGTCTTTGCCGTAGCTCAGCTACATTTTGAATCGGCTTGAAATACACTTTTTCTTTTACAATTCCCCAGTCAAAAAAATCTAACGGGTTCAAATCTGGTGACCGGGCTGGCCACGGTATTGTACCAGACCGCCCTATCCATCTGCCTGGAAAGTTTTGATCGAGATACTCTCTCACTGAGAGTGCATAGTGCGCTGGGCAGCCATCATGCTGAAACTGTCCCTGTCCCTGTAAATACTCAGTGGCACGTCCTCCAATAAATTTTCTAAATGATTTTTCAAAAAAACTAAATAAACCTCAGCAGTCAAAGTCTCTGGGAACTCAAACGGACCGATTATTTAAAATTCCTGTCCAATGGTTTATCTTGAAGCGATATTGAGATTTATCTTCTCTCATCAAATGTGGGTTTGCTACGTGCCACTCGTGTAAGTTATGCAGGGTCATGTACCCATCTTTCTTAAATGTGGTCTCATCCGACCATAAAATTTTTTCAAAGAACTGTGGATCTTTCCTGTGTCTTTCTAACATTGTGCGACAAAAAGCAACTCGGGGCAACGCTTCTCAAAGATCAAGAAACTTAAATTTATTCTTGTAACCTTCAGCATTTTTCGCCATAGATAATAAATTGTCTTTTTACATTATGAAACGACGAAAAGTAAGTTATCACTCTATCTGGCGACCTTCCACCCCATGTTCGCATCATTGGCAACGTCGCCATAGCACGATACACATACACTGAAGATAGGATATTGCGCATGTGGGCGGGGCTCCGTGACGTCACCCGGAGAGTTATCGGCTCGTGGTTAGCAGCGGCAGGATTGTCGTAACGTTACTGCAGTTCACGTGTATCGTGGTTAAAACGATATAGTGCGATTTGTTGGAGTTTTTTGACCTGTTCTATGAGTTATACATAATTTATATAGCCTGTGTGGTTGATAAATTGTTAAAAATACGCTGTGCTGTTGTGGGATGAAATGCCGACAACCAGTCTAAACGGAATCCTTGCAAAAACATGAAGATCGACAGATTTCCTCAAGACCCAAACCTTAGCAAAAAATGGCTACATCTTACAAAAAGAAAAGACAAAGTCAATGTAAAAAGCGCTTTTGTGAAAGTGCCTATAAGGTCAATTTGAAACATACCCTTTTGAGTTACACCCCTAAAAGATATCGTGCTCTAAAAGATCCTATGGAAAATTTACCCAAGTCTCGATCATCACCTGGACCATCTACATTTGTTGATGGGGAAAAGTGCTTACGAGAACAGACAAAGGGCTCAACTTATCCCCTAGAGTTGAAGTATAGAATAAGGTCATATATTTTAGGGCGAAACGAAGGCGCATACACAGAGTATTGCAGCGTAGAGGAAGAGGATACTCCGGGCATTCCACTAACGAATAAACTGAATGCACCTGAAGTATCAGCTGATTATAACGAGGAAGTTTCAGTAGAAGAAATGGATGAGCTCGAGAATGATCGGCTGAAAAATTTGGCCGGCTTTGCTTGCCATAAATTGCAGGATGAGAGGTTGAAAAGTTGCTCAAATGAAACTTATTCCTGGATAGACCATCTTAGTGAGGGTGGGTTATCAAAACCTTCAATTTTCATGAATCAAATTGAGAAGCTTAATAAGGTGTTTACTACATTCAATGGGGATGGAATAGTGACAGACAAGCAAAATTTTATAGGCGAACTTCTGTTGAAGAGCAGCTACATTGACTGCCTAGAAAAAGCTAGAAAACTATTTTTCAGGTCAAGGATGTTCTTCCGGATTAAACAACTGAGTAAAAGTTTGAAAGTCCAGAAAAATCGTGAAAGGAGATGGAGAAAAATTGTGGCTTAGGCTAAGTCATCGCCATTTATTGTTATACTGCCAGCTTACTGCATTTTTCTACTTTTCTATTTGCGTACATTTTCACACTTGCATATAGTTAGTACTTAGGATGTTCTGTGAAATAAGGATGAATAAATGTAGTGCAGTATTAACGACATGAGCATGTTAATCCTGCTCCACAAAACATACTAAAATATACAGGGTGACTTCGAAGTTGAGTCATTTATTTTAACAGTGAGTAGATCTGATCAAAAGAAATGTTTTTTTCCTTTACCATTTTTCTGGTAAAATTAAAGTAACAAAGTTATAGCCCTTTGGATGTTTGAGTACCGCCCTGTCTCAATAATAATATTATGTGCTCGTGTTTGGCGACAACGGATATAATCCGCCGTATCGGTTCATCGCATCGGAAACAAAAAAGCGAAAGAATTTGGAACGATGTTTTTACAATTATTTTATTCATTTGTACAGTCAGTGTCAGTGAATAGTAGTGTCTGTTGCGTGGCTCAAACGAAATAAGAAATGGCACATGTTTATGCGGATCCGTTTCCCAATCGAGTGCAACCAACCCCTCGTGGCTTTGTTAATGTAGTACAACGGGCTCGTGAATCAGGTGACTTAAGACCTCACAGGGGACTGCATGCCGTTGCTCCAAGACCTCACGATCAAATACAGGTCCGCACTGAAATACTTGTCGGGAGGATACTTTATAAAACAAGGTAAAAAAAATTTTTTAATTTTTTTTTATTTTTACACACATATTTTGGTTTATCTTCCTTCTACAATCATTATCTGAAAATTAATGACTCAACTTCAAAGTCACCCTGTAGGTAATGTAGAAAAATCTTGTTTTTACAGTAAAGTGACGATACACGCTCTATTGTGGAGCTAGAAAGCCGTTTAAGCTATAGCTTGTGAGATAGGAATAAGAAGGTTTAAATATTTTATTTAAATCCGCCATTTTGTTTTGTAGAAAATTTTAATTCAGCCACTGCCACTCCCACCACTAAGACGCATCCAACGCCACTTCATATGTGAAAATCTGTCCAGCCGTTTGGCCTGTAGGTGAAAATATGCACGCTTTCCATATCAACCCAAACGACAATCACTCACAGCGTGACGTCATCTGTGCCGGCGGACGAAAATCGAACAGCACTGTCACCATAGCATCTCGGACTCCAAATATCAATTCACGCATTTTATTTTATTATCCTCTCGAGTACTAAGGCTTCCTGTCGTAAACCCACCTCCATTAACGGAATGTCCGGGTAGAGGACGAAATACGCATCGGACGCGAGAATAGAGAAACATCCTACCTGTGGTTGCGCCAACCTCGGCTGCAGCTGCTGCCCTTGCACGCCGCCCGCAATGAGCTGCCCGGCTGCCGGCTGCCCCAGATACTGCATGCCGCCCATGTACACCAGATGCTCCGGCTTAGCTCCGCCGAGTCCGGTCATCTCGTAGGGGTTGATGGCCATATAGGAGCCGGCTCCAAGAGGCGCAAGTGGCTCACCGGGTAATTTAGGCAATCCACCCGGCATCGGTTGATGCTGTTGTTGAGGCGCTGGTGGGGGAGGCGGGTACTTCCACTTATCGTGGTTCTGCAAAAAAAATATAATACTAGATTTCTTGGTCTGCAATTTGATAGTTACCTCAGGTGGCACCACTATTCAGGGTGTTTTAGGGGAAAAAATGGAAATTAATTAGTATTTTCAGAAATATCAGAAGCCGCTCTGAAAATATTAATTAATTTCCATTTTTTCCCAAATCTTCAACACCCCGAGCTTTTGTAAGGAAACATTTTTGGATCATAGTTTATAAAGCAAACTAACATTAATTTTTCATGTAAATTTACATCATTAAATATTCGCATATCATTAAGGAGCACCCTGTATAAGTTATTCTATAAGAATTATTGCTAAATATTTGGATAGAAAAATTTTGAAAAATGTGTATCACTCAAATTTTGAATTGGGATTAAGGTATGGAATTATGTTATTCAGAAACTTTGATGGAATTTTTGTAATACAATAGAAAATATTGAGAAAATATTTTAGGTTTGAAGTTGAATGAATCATGTAGCAGAAAATTCAAGCAATTCGTTATTTCAACTGTTTTTGGACTGTTGATTCAAGAGTGCCTCATATATCTATTTAAAAATGAGTGAATATTCACAGTTAATGAGCCTACAAGTAACCGAACATAGATTAGCATTATTTCAAAAATTGTCTAAAGCTTTTTAACCATTTATCTAGTAATGCTAAAATTTTCAAAAAGATACTTGGGAGAGACTATTTTGGTTTGATGGGACACCTCTTTGTAAATTTAACATATTTTGGTAAATAATATTTATTATTGTTTGAAGTAGCTTAAAGCTAAATAAATCCTTTCTATTCTATAAATGTATGATAAGTAATCTTAAAAATAGATTAATATGAAATTATCAAAAATTATAAAACTTGTAGAGAGTAAAACACTTTTAGGGTACAAGTATGTGGAAAAATGTTTTTTGAAGACTTTATGTCTTTGATGGATTTTAACACAGAGGGCAAATTAATGCATTGTTATTATTCCTTAGATTGTATCTCTGGGACACTTTTAGGTAATTGATCTTTACTAAAACAAAATTAACATGCCCTTGGCTTTCAACTTAATTAAAACCAGAGGAGTAGCTCTTTATAAAAAAAGACCTCAAATTGCCCATACAAATTAATAGAAAATAACTGATACACTATTAGATAGGTTTTTAAATGGAAAAGGATCTAAGGGAAAGTGCCAAATTGTTGTCCAAAGCACGCTTATGCTGTTTTCAAGCTGTAGAAATAGTAAACTATCTTTTTGCACTAGGCGTGAAAATGTAAGTTCCCAATTTTATTTGACACAAATTGACAATTCCTGCAATTTGTAACCTGCCTCTCTGGAATGCCACGCCTCTGGTTATAAAAGGGCCCACTTCCCAAACATGATAAAAGTAATATTTTGTTACCCATTTAGGATTTAAAAAAAGTTGAGTATAGCTCATCCCCATGACATTTTCCTGCATTATTTTTTTGCTATTTCCTACTAAAAAAGAGTTTTAATTGTTGCTTAAATAGCAAAAATATCTAAATGAAAACAGTTATTCAACACAATGGCTGAATGGTATGGAGTTATAATGATCTTTTTTCAGAAATCATCTTGTGTTGGTAAAATATTTTCATGTTTTTGTCTATTTCAGGTTGTAATTCATCCAGTTTGTTAAACAATAGCTTCGATCAATTCGCAAATATGAATTATTGATAGTAATGCAACATTATTGTATGGAGAAGGTTTTACTCTAGGATAAAATAAATTATTTACAGCAAATGAAAACATTTTCAAACCAAAAATAAAGCTATGAGAATCATTTAAAAAAAAACAATTATGCTAGGATTAAGTCTATGTTAGAAGAACTACAGTGGTTGAATGTAAAAATGCTCATGTGTTATTTGCTTCACATTTTCATATTCAAATTAAAAAATCATTTATTACATCCACATTTAGAAAACCTCATGAAATTAAATAGTCATTATCATGACTACTAAACTAGAGGCAGTATAGATTTTCATCTACAAAATTGCAATATGTAGTAGCATAACTAGTAAATCTGTATTTCAAAATGTAGTAATATTTAATAAATTCATTTGAAAAATTCAAATTTGAAAATGTTAAAGGTAAAATTACAAAACCTCTTTATGAATACTCGAAATGCATAGTGATGTAATTTTGATAGACAAGAATGTAAAACTTGATTCAAAAAAATTTGTAAACAAATAATATCAGTTGATATTATTCTTACATGTAAATTCTTATATGAACTTGATCAGTTTATGTACGAAAATATATTCATGTAGGTATAAACTTGTTTATAGCGGAGTGAGGTATCTAGAATAACTGTCTGGCTATTGAGGCCTTTTAATTTTGGCACTTAAAACTATTCCTAATTAAATGTGTGTCACATTTTGCAAAATAATTACACCGAAAAAATAATCATTCCCCAAAAGAGTAGCAAGTATAAGCCCTGCTGTTTAATGCTTACTTGTAGCCTGCCTTAAAATATTCTCTACAATTTTTTATATAAAAATCATAGCAATAGCCACCATTTCTCACAAAGACTAGCTTTTTATCCTTTACTGTGATAGTTGATACATGTGGTGCTACCTGTTATATTAAATTACTTTTATGGAAAGTCAAACGGAGACATTATGATTAGAACTTATATACTAACTTCGATGATGCTGTCATCCCCTGGGGCCCAGCGAATCGGTTTGGGACCAAAACTGTTGAAGTCAGGATCAGGGGGCCTTTGAAAAACGTAACCAACGGCAGCGTCGTCTTGAGAACGGTGCTGGCCCCTGTCCATTTCAACTTTTATTATACCATCTCCCTCCCCAGTACCTAGCCACTTCATTGGTGTCACTGCAACCAAAACAACACTTTATTTCCTCTTTCAACCATACAAATCACTAGTTTTCTATATCATTTGTTATCTTTAGTCCAATCATATTAGCAAATTTCCCTGGAATAATTGTAGTCTGGTTTTATCGGTGTAAGTTGTTCAAGGGGGTATTTAAAACATGGAAATGGAACTTCTCAAAAACTACTTGACCAGTCTACTCCAATTTTGTCCCAGTTATGTAGAACTAATAATCTTATGAATCTGAAGAATTACAAGTATCTGCTAGAAACCATTGTTGCATGATCAAAAAGTCCCAAAACCTAGTATGCCTCAGTTTTTGGCCATAACTTTTTTGCTATTAGTCAGATCTTGTTACTTATGGTCTCATTTTGTAGGTCTGATAAATACCTAAAAATCTTATAAGTATGAAAGGTTTTTTCGTTCCTGCCAAAACTATTGACTGAATCCTAAAAAACACGATTTCTCATTCTTGGTTGTCAAAGAACAAGTTTTACCACAAAAATTGGTGTGCCCATTTTATGCGTCCTTGTTTCAAATACCCCCTTGAACAACTTAACCAATAAAACCTAGACTTTTACAATTATTTCTCAAACCAGGGGAATGTTCGTCTAGTATGATTAGACCATTATTGGTTTTCTATATTATCTGATATCTCAATACACATACAATTAAATAATCAACTAGTTTTTATCAGTTGATTCAGCTGCAATTGCACACAAAAGAATAACCAATCCAATCAGCTGTCAAGGTGTCAAGGGCCAAGTTGTGGAAGAACACAAGTGTAGTAAAGAATATTTAGGCCTAATAACACGTTATCAACATTTTAATCGAGCGATATTCTCCTTTATTCAGCCGAAAACGATCGAATACATGACATTTGTTTATGACTTGACGTTTTGCATCCCCGGTACAAAACAAAACGATTCGTTTGACAACCGCGGCAAAGCACAAAGAAAACTTGGAAAAACAGATAGTATGCTCGGCAGATGGGCGTGACAAGGTAACGCAGCGTACCTGTGCTAAGTTTGCGACTTCCTCTTGCACAAACAAATCTTACACTCGGAGAAATCCAATGTTCTGTACGTCTCGGCGTCGGCTTTGTTAATTTTCACTGTACACAAACACAAAGTATCAGTCGCGATTTTTTACACTATGCAGCATAACCACAACACAAAATATTATCACTAACTATACAACGAACTATGTACAATTTACAAGAAATACAGGATCCGCGATTTACGCCATTTATACAAGGTGATTTTCGTAGATTTAAAAATGACAGCGATTTATGAACAATTCGCTCGCCATTTTGAACATGCGCGCGCATCTGTCAAGTCGTTACCGTATTTGAAGGCTTTGGTGGCGTTGCCGCTCATACCAAAAAGAAACTTAAGTTCTGATATTGTTTATTAAGCTGATCATAAAGCTGAAAAAAGGCACTTTGTGAAATCTTGCTGATTAATGATTTTGTTACAGTTGTTAGACGTAATACCCGAATAGTATACTTACGTTGCCTTTCGATCTCGGCAACTTATACGATGTCCTGCTCAGTGGCGTAGCTACCTAGGTAGTTTTTAGGGTGCAAACAGTCATTTCACGTTTGCTCACTAGGATCGTTGTGAGCGTCCATCTATGGAGCAATGGCTCAACTACACGTACACTCATTGTCGGTTACGTATTTTTTGTGTGAAGCCGATTGGTCTATAATTTTCATCTCTCAGTTTCTGAGAAGAAAGTTGGTTATTTGGTTGAATAGCAAGATCGCATCTAGATGATTCTGTGTATTGGTCTGCACGTGTATAAAATCAGCGATATTTGCTGTGTGAGAAAATCATTACTGAATATGCTGCCAATGAAGTATAGGTATCTATTAGCTGAGCCCGACCGGGTATTTACATAGAAAATACTTGCGCATCCACTTTTTCTTATCCATTCTGGAAATTACATATACAAATGTGCTGAAATTCAAAAATGAGAGAGATAAGAAATAATTATATTCACTGTACACTGTCGAATTACAAGCCATATACATGCTAACAGTAATTACACACAACGCGGGCGCTGTGATGATTTTCCGTAATTCTCCTCAGTTTTTCGTAATTTATAACTTTGAACTTAGCCTCTCTTCAGAAAGCAGAGCATATAAATAACCCGTCATATTCGGCATATTCAGTAATGATTTTCTCACACAGCAAATATCACTGATTTTATACACATACAGACCAATACACAGAATCATCCAGATGCGATCTTGTTATTCAACCAACTTTATCCTCAGAGATAAAAACTACAGACCCGGATTACTCAGCCTCACAAAACTATGCAACCAATAATGCGTAGTTTAGTTGAGTGATTCCTCCATAGATAGACGTTCACAACGATCCTAGTGAGCAAACGTGGAATGACTGTTTGCGCCTAGTCTGCAAGTTGACATCTTATAGGTTTTTTTGCCGTTTTATAGGTTTTTTACATTATACCCGTGCGGGTCGAAAAATAGTATAATGTCTAAAAACAACGACATTACGTCACTTTTCAAGATACTTAAAACTCGGAAGTTGGTGGTGTCACCTCATCGAAAGTCAAAAGCAATAAATTTTATATGTTTTATAAACGTCATGGATCATTTAATATTTACATTTAAAATATTGAACAAATAACAAAATGAAATAAAAACTAAGACAGGAAAAATATTTTTATCTTACAATTAAAATCTCTTCTTTCTAGCTTTGATAGCTGCAAACTCAGAAATAACTTCATCAAAATTTATGTTTAGTATTGGCTAATATAGCAAGATTGCTAAGCCGCGATTGGGTCATTGTTGCTCGCAAATAGTTTTTTATTGATTTTAATTTACCTAAACTCCTTTCACATGAAGCGACAGACACCCAACTCGCCATGAAAAATTTTAGTGCATGCATAAGATTTCTAAGAGATTCTGTAAAATCCCATTCTATATAAACTTCAAAAAAATCTAGAGATACCAATCAGAAACTGTAACATTGGCGGCTTTTAAGTCTTGGTATCTCCAAAAATAATGTTTCTGAGACCTCATCACAAAAATCGGTGCGGGCCGCCCCCGCCCTCGCTACGCCACTGGTCCTGCTTATCTTTTTCAGTTTTTTCATTTGTAGACAACAAATTGCACAAGATAGGCAACCATACTACCATGAAAGTAGAAAACGTTCCTAGAAATATCTAAAATACCTCACCAGAACAGATAAAATTGTTGATAATGATAGTATAATCTGAATCTTCTCTCATTATTGTATCTATCAGTGGATTTTTCGGTTGCTTGCCCAACCTTGCGAAAAGTGTACAAATACAAAATTCAGAAATCATTTCGTTATCAATTTGGCATGTATAATAATCTTCTTTTTTCTTCAAAAATTCTAATTACTCTGTGAATCTCACGTCTATCAATCATATTTATATAATCGTAAAATATATCTAGACTAATTACAACAAATGATAGCATTTTGCTGGCTTTGCAATGACACAATTTTAGACAAATGGATCTCCGCGCCCAAGGTTATTAGAACTGATTTTACCTGTATTTAGTATCGATAATAATGCTTCTAATGTTATGACTAATGTATGGGTGCTTGCAAAAATTATACCTACTCGAGAATAGCTTGGTGTAGCACTTTCCGTATTTTTCAAGGGTTTACCTGCTGAATTGTTGTATATTATCATGACATGATGATACCTAGGAAAGAATGTCATACTCAGTAGTTTTTTGTATGTAATGAAAGGAAGAAATAAATTAGAAAAAACGTAGATAGGTAGACGAGGCTTAGAAGGATATTTATCCTCCATAAATTCATTCAAAAGTTATATCTGTCAGACTTGAAACTATTCGAAGTTCAGATTTTCTTGATATCTTGATAGGTCCCGATTACAAATTTTGCGAAAAATTTTTTGTACGCTCTGTCTAAAGTAGATCGAAGGTCTATAATAGGAGTTTTTGGCCCGGAACATAACTCAAATTTCAAGTTATAGCATCTTTGAAACTTTTCTATTTACAATTTTTTGGATCATTCAATTATAAATATTTATCAAAATTTTTCTGTTTATTCTAGTACTTGATTATTCTTTAGAAATTCCAAAGATAGCATTTTTGTCATTTTTGTCCAAAATTCACCCATTCTACAGGGTGGCCCAACGAAAAGGTCGTACCACGTCAATTTTGATTTCTAAGGGGACGTCTTTTCATCCATAGCCGTACAATACAGGGTGATCCAAAAATAAGATTTTGCGTTACACTTTAGATATTTAAATGTACACCCCCATTTTTTTTATTCTTTAGATTTTCCATGAAGCCTAGTAACTTTTCTATAAGATAGTTTATGGTGATGATTTCCCGTAATTCTCCGCAGTTTTTTGTGATATACTTATAACTTTGAGCATAACCTCTTTTCAGAAAGCACAACATAAAAATAACACGTCGGGCAGCCAATAGATATACGTTCATTCAGTAATGATTTTCTTACACAGCAAATATCACTGATTTTATACACATGCAGACCAATACACATAATCATCCAGATGCGATCTTGCTATTCAACCAACTTTCTTCTCAGAGATAAAAACTAGACAAGGACCATTTGGCCTTACAAAATATATGCAACCAATAATGCGTGTAGTTTAGTTGAGTTGAGTTTTTAAAAATTAAAGCAGAATTTTGGGAAACTACGGGAGATACCTGGGTGGTTAATTGTTCTAAACTGCGATGCAGTGCGGTTATTTTTGGGTCGCTTGGTTCTTGATCATTTCCATAAGCTGCCAAATTCGGGACTCTTTCTCTACGATTTTGACATCCCTCAGATCTGTCACAGGTTCTAACAGCTTTTCCTTTTTTCCATCATTAGCACTGCTTTAGGAACCAGTTCAGTAGCGGGATCTCCTGTGGAAACGTCGGAGTCCATTTTTAATATCTCGACTTGATATGCAAATCTCTCTAGCGCAAAAAATTTAACTGACTCAAGCTTCCTAAACAGAGAGAGTGTTTTTTTGTGGAATAACGTATTTTTTTATTCGAGATGTTAACTTAGCACTAGCCGTTGTGCACTTGTCGTGAACTTGTTTTGTAGCTGTACGTGTTGCCTAAACGTCAATGTTGATGATAATTCCTTTGGTTTCTTGTCTCAAATACACTGCTGGTCTTATTAGGAACCCAGGGATCCAAATAAGGCCATGATCTGGTTTTTAATAAGGCCACACTCAAAATATAAATCATGACTGAATAAACGAAGTTATATTTCTAATTAACAACAATAAATAATTCTTAAATCCAGATAGATTTCAAGTAAAAGAATTAACTTGTTTTTGCCTTCGCATTGATGACAAACAAATGATACTTTTGAATTAACAAGAGATTCCGCAAAAAGAAGTCGACAACATGCAAAAACGGAGACAAATTTAAAGCAGAAATTTTATACGGCACATATTGGAAACAGACGCTGTGCCACAGCTGCTGAATTTATGGCTGCTAACTGCTCACAATGAAATTGTAGAACTGCAGAAATCTTTAATTTTAAATGTTAATATTTCCTTTCTTTGCTAGAGGTAACTTATGCAAATTTGCTGAATTTAAAAAATGTGAGAGATAAAAAGAGAAAATCCCTGGTTGGTCGAGTATATTACAAGTGAGAAAATATGCTACAGACAGGAAAATTTATGAAACGTAAAAAAGTTATTACATTATTATTATTACAACATATAAATAACCTGTCGGGCACAGCTAACAGATATACTAATTATCTCACATAGCAAATATCATTGATTTTATAAAGTTGGGGTTTTCCTTTACACGACGTGTAGATCTTGAAAACATAAGCAATTTTTCTTAGTACCATATACACCAATGTCTTAAGGGAACTGAGATAAAGGGCTCTGCAACATCAAAAATATCTGAATACCGTCCTGTAGCCGCGACCCGCCGCGATATCTCAGACTGGTACCGGCTACTAGCTGCGTAGACGAGAATCCCTCAACAAGCACTAGAGACGTGGCTAGAGAAGTGCAAGTATCAAAAACTAAAGTGTGGCAAACGTCCAACGTGTACAAGCCCTTCAACCTGACGATTTTCCAGCAAGAGTGCGGTTTTGTGAGTGGTTGTTGCATCAACATGACAATAATCCGGACTTTTTGAAGTGCATATTGGTGACAGACGAATCTACGTTCACGCGTAATGGGGTGAATAACTTTCGATTTCAGGCAGAGGCGTACTTAGCCCTTCTCGTCAACTGGAGAGTGAGTACTTTTTCCTTTATTTTTTTTTACTTGGTCGCCCTCGTTTCACTACACATTACCTTTGTTATTTCAAGGGTAGTTGTTTCTGAAAAGGAAAACCCCAACTTTGCGGACACCCTGTAAACATGAGTACCAATGCACATAATGATCCGGATGCGATCTTGCTACTCAACCAACTTTCTTTCTTTCACATCTTCTCAGAGATAAACCGTACGGACTACTCCGTTTTCTGCAACCAACAATGCATGTCGTGTCGTTGAATCATTCCTCCATAGATGGACGCTTCTGATGGCGCTCACAGCGATCATAGCGAGCAACAGCAGAAGCAACTATTTGCACACTAAAAAGATGCTATTTTGTCGGTTTCTTCTTTGACATTTCTTAGGTTTTTTTACGTAATACCACTTACGGTCTCGGGATTACGAATTACCATAACCTTTCTTGCAATTCTAAGCACGATTTTGTAAAATTATAGGCTTTTTAACAAATGAAAATTTACAGATAAAAACCCAGAGGAAGAGCACCACATCTTCCTTCCAGCTGGGCCTTAAAATTTACATATTCAGCCTCATTTAGTGTACAATTTAGAGGATACTTAGGATTCGCCCCTCCTGGAAAATTTAAACTTTTAGAGATATATTTTCCCAAAAAAAATCCTTATTGATAAGCACCATTTATTACCTTTTTTGTACTTAGTCAAACAATTCACTATTTATACTAAGTGACATATAAATCCGAACATCCAGTTTAAATGGTTTTATTTTAATAAAAGTGGGTGAATGTATTTATTTTACTGTAAATAACAAGTGAAAAAATGTTCAGCCTTATCAGTTGGACATTCCGGTTTTTATACTGCTTTTTTTTTAATTCACTAACACTCTAAAAATGAATATTTCAGCCGCAGTAAAGAATCAGGCGGATTTTAGTTCTCGACATCCTTTACGATCGGTTACGATGCCTAGAGTACGGACACCTGTACGATTTCGTCAACTTAGTGAGCTTGATAGGGGCCGAATAGTGGGACTTCGGGAAGCTGGACTTTCTTTTCGGGCAATTGCAGTTAGAGTGCAAAGAAGTGTAGACACTGTGGTTAGGTGTTGTCAGGCATGGCTTCGAGAAGGCCGTACGCAAAGAGCAAGGGGCACTGGACGCCGCCGTAGAACAACAGACCGTGAAGATCGCCGCCTAAGATTATTGGCCTTAAGGGACCGTTTCTCCACTACCAGGTCCATTGCAAATGAATGGTTTGCAGAACACGGAAGACCTATTGGCATGCGAGGTGTTTACCGACGAATGAGAAGTTTTGGCTTGTTTTCATACCGGCCACACTGGGTCCTCCCTTTAACTCGAGAACACCGACGTAATCGCCTTGAGTGGTGCAGACAACGGCCACTCTGGGATCAGGAGTGGAGCAGTATTGTCTTCAGTGACGAGTCTCGATTTTGTTTAGGCATGCACGATGGTCGTTCCAGGGTTAGAAGGCGACGTGGTGAAAGGAGGAATCCACAGTTTTTTGTTGAAAGACATGTTCATCACACTGTTGGAGTTATGGTTTGGGGTGCTATAGCTTATGGTTCCAGGTCACCTTTAATTTTCATCAGAGGTAACATGAATGCGCAGCGTTATATCCACGAAGTTCTATGTTAGAACCCCATCTTTTACCCTATCTTGACACCCTGGCAGATCCAACTTTCCAACAAGATAATGCCCGACCACATGTTGCAAGAGTCACAATAGGCTTCTTTCAACATAATGATGTCACATTGTTACCATGGCCACCAAGATCTCCCGTCTTATCCCCAATTGAGCACGTGTGCGATATGATGGGTAGGAGATTGCTCAATTTGCAACGCCCTCCTCAGACTCTAGAAGCACTTCGAGAGGAGTTGGTGGTTGCCTGGAATGAGATACCTCAGGAGGACATTGACCACCTGATCAGAAGCAAGCCTAGGCGCGTTGGAGAATGTGTAGCACATCAGGGTGCATCCACACATTATTAAAGGTCAAAGGGCTTTAAAGCAGTGCAATCATTTTGAAATTTGTATCATTTACTTATTATGCTTCATTAAGTACTTATACAAAATTTTATTAAAATAAAACCATTTAAACTGGGTGTTCGGATTTATATGTCACTTAGTATAGTTTGAAAGGTGTCGATTTTGCTAACTACCGAAAAGTAAAAAAAACACACAGCACTCGCCCTGGTTTCAGGTTACTCTTGGTGCAATAGTGCAAATTAAATAGATCAAGTCAGTCGAACTGGCTCATACAATTAAAATTTGCTTTGTATACAATTTTGGGGATTTTAATGATTCCCTCATGGGAAAATTTTGCAAAAGGTTTGCGATGCAGCTACACTTTCACAAAAAAATATCTCTTGTCAATGAATATCTCTCTCCTCATTGTGAAAAACTCCTGCGGGACCAATGAACGTTGATACGACTAACGTCGTCGCCACTATCAACTGCAAAACACAGACACCCAGACTCAGACGAGTCTGTTCAAAATATATCTTAATCATTCCAAATATATGGAGAAATCTTTAGTGTTTGAAATATGTTTAATAGCTGCGTGGTATTACTGGGGTTGGCAGCGTATAACGTCAAAAAATTTTGATACAATAATATTTTCAGTTACATCTTCAATTACGTCAGTTGATTCTATAATGATTGTTGCATTTTTATAATATCCTGTCACACTTCGTACCTTGAAAATTACCAGATCCCACAAAAAACAATTCAAACCAGATCCACTTGAATATCCGAAGGAAGTAACAGATAATAATTAAGCGAAATTATTCGCTTGATTCGGTTACAGAATCGGTTAGCAATACAGATCTGTAATTTCGACCGTACTTTCTCTGTTCTGTGGTCAACTTGCTCGGAGATAATGCCCGCGTAAGTACCAAGTAGCACGGAAAGGAAATGCAAAAAATGAACTCATTTTTGTTTATAAAATAAATACAGATGATACCAAGCTGTAATTCAATAAACAATATAAACAAACAGGGTCGGCTTTGACGCTATCCGTTCCCTGCATGACATTGTTATCTTCTCTAGACTGAGCCGAGATGTTCTTAGCTCGCAAAAGCTCGAGCTTTTTGGGTAAAGCGAGTGGCCAGTAGTGGACAGTGTCGTAAGGAACTTGACAAAGTGTGGGATGCTTGTTTCACACCTAAAATTTATGGTGCATAAAGAGAAAAGCCTGTTTACATCAGGGTTTTTTTCTCTCAAGGAAAAGGGATGGTTAACCGCCTACAAAAAAGCTACAAAGCTAGAGGAGTACGGATGGTGGCTTTTCTCAATGCCTTCCAACTCTGAAGAGATTAAAATCCGATAAAAATGAAGAGAGTAGCACCAAAACCAAAACAAACACCTAAACGTAAGGTGCTAGTCCATAAACTGGTGATTGGGGCCTAATATCCCAAAATCCGGAAATCAAACGAAGGACCCACACACACCTTAGCCTATGCTTTAACAGGAAGTAAAATGATGGACTGTCAGTTGACTGTCAATCAATGTCAAAAGTGGGAGGGCGCTGGTTGCCTATGGGCGGACCCTAAAAAACCAACTTTACGAGGAACCAACGATATTTTATGAGGAAATTTCTGGGATAGTCATTAATAAAATATTATAACATTATTGTCCAAAGGATTTCAGCCCAATACTTAGTGGCTAAGAAAGAAAGATATAATATGTGTGAAATCATACTTCCAGGATTAGATAGTTTAGAGCCCAACAGATGAATAAATTACGAAATTTGCCAAAAGAAAATTATTGAAAAGGGTTTGGAATCGATACTCTAAAATTCAAATTACTGATAAGTGATCAGCAGAGTAAAAAAAGTCAGGTGATTTTGGCACGTAACTACTAAATGATAGGGTCACTCGAATTAATGGATACGGCGTACGTGTATAAAATACCGATAATTAACATACTTCTTTCATACTCACTTAACAGGGCTCCTACAATCTCGAGCACCATCTGCTGAGGAAACGGGGGGGTGAAAAGGAAACGAGGGTGGGCTGGTCTTAGACGATCGTCGGCGCTACTTTAAAAGAGGAAAGGATGACTGCGGGTGCATACCAAGTTGAGCACAGATAGTAAGCATTTCAACCGACCATAATTCTTGCGCAAAGACAACACTTTGTACAACGCTCTGATAGCACCTTAGGCAATTATGTCCTGCTTATATCCAGAAAAACATCACAAACTGCAGAATGCAAATTGAACGTAACGGCGAAATGGGTACATTTCACGGGTCATGAAATTCAAATGAAAATGCAGGTATGAAATCTACCAAATTATCGTTTTCAAAAACATATTTCCTTGACATATCGATAAAGTTGCACTCTAAATTCCCCTATACTTGATTGGAGTGATACCCGAATTCATTCTTCCCTACTGTCGGCAATTGCAGATAGATCTGTTGGCTCTTGGTGTCAAACCCATAGAGCAGGTACCGATTTTTTCAGTAGACAAAATTTGTAGAGGTTTGCGCGCTTCAAAATCGACGCCTTATTTCTAAATATTTTTGAATGAAATTTTCACAGAGTGCTGAAAACAAAGCCCCACAGGGTGCTTTAGAGCCACTTTTTCATTTTTTTCACTAGGTTCTTTTAAAAAAAATCGCGAAGTTGAACATTAGAAGTACGCACTTCCACCAATCATAAAACTTGTGCAAAAACAAAATTTCAAAAAGTGCTCTTATAGCACCCTGGGAAATTACCTTCTCAACATACTGTATGAATTTCATTCAAAAATATTGAAAAATGGAGTGTCAGTTTTCAAGCAGCTGAACCCTTGTAAATGGCTTGAAACTCACTGCGTCAGAGCCGCCTTAAGAAATTAACATTTGTCAACTGAGATTAGCACCAAGCGCGTCCATCGCGACACCTGGGGGAGCGTCGGCGTCACCGCCGTCGGCGCCGCGCCGCTTCCGCGAGGACGTCCGCCGTCCACCAGGCCCATCATCATCCGCGCTCGTTCTTCCGCCGCGTTCAGTTTATCCGCGGCTGCCTACGCCAATATATCTTCACGTTCAGGATGTCGTTGCGGTACCCGAGCCCGTGGTTCCTAATGAAAATCGCGATCGTGGCCATCTTCTCCACGGTGGTACTTGCACCTGGTGCCTTCGGAATCAGGATACCCGACAACCAACAGACCGCTGCCAAATGGACCGCGAACGGGTTTTACTCCTACCCGCATCCCAAAGAAAGGAAACTTCTTCCCCAGGAGGTGATGGTCGAGGTGACCAATCGTTTGGGGTTGGAGTTATTGGCAGTAAGTAGATTCAATTTATATCTCAAGGATATAAAATCACCCGCATCGCCCACCTTTGGGCAGAGTGATGGGCTGACTCGAGCAGTTTATCAATTTTTTATCCATTTGAGGCTATTAATAATAATAATAATGTTTGTTGGTCCAATTACAAAGTTTTCGTATAAATAATAACGGCAATGTCCAATAAACATAATATACCCAAAAAAGTGTACACTTGTGCTTGGGTTTTAATCGAAGTTGAGTTACATTAAATACAACAAATTTTCTTCAAGAATACTGTGGCCTGTCTAGAAACCGTCGATCGATGCTCAAAATCAATACCACACGTCCCGCATATCTTCTCGCGTATGTGTCTATTTATGTTGCTATTCTGAATTCGTTTAAATCACAGAGCTGCTGCACTATACATGAATATGTACAGCCCTGTATTCCTGTACTTGTTTAGTACAAACATACATTATCAAAATAATTACGATCTAACATATATAGTTTTTTCCAAGGATTTTCAACATTTCTACATGCGATCAAAACTGAGAAAACAACTATGCCGTAAATCTAAGTTTGACAACGAAAGTCTGAAAAATAACTGTAACATCTACAGGGTGACTTTGAAGTTGAGTCATTAATTTTCAGATAATGATTGTAGAAGGAAGATAAACCAAAATATGTGTGTAAAAATAAAAAAAACAATTAAAAAAAAGTTTTACCTTGTTTTATAAAGTATCCTCTCGACAAGTATTTCAGTGCGGACCTGTATTTAATCGTGAGGTCTTGGAGCTCCGGCATGCCGTCCCCTGTGAGGTCTTAAGTCACCTGATTCACGAGCCCGTTGTACTACATTAACAAAGGCACGAGGGGTTGGTTGCACTCGATTGGGAAACCGATCCGCATAAACATGTGCCATTTTTTATTTCGTTTGAGCCACGCAACAGACACCACTATTCACTCACGCGTTACCGACTGACACTGACTGTATACAACTGAATAAAATAATTGTAAAAACATCGTTCCAAATTCTTTCGCTTTTTTGTTTCCGATGCGATGAACCGATAAGGCGGATTATATCCGTTGTTGCCAGACACGAGCACATAATATTATTATTGAGACAGGGCGGTACTCAAACTTCCAAAGGGTTATAACTTTGTTACTTTAATTTTACCAGAAAAATGGTAAAGGAAAAAAACATTTCTTTTGATCAGATCTACTCACTGTTAAAATAAATGACTCAACTTCGAAGAATTTCAAAAACCCCGACCCCTACTGAGCGTTGCCGTGGCAAATTCTTGTTCCGGAAGTTGTTGTATCCAGCATACAACTTCTTCCCGTACAAGTGATCGTACACGCGTTAAGGGATACCTCAGTACCGATTGCCGGGTGGCGGTACAAGTCCGCCAACGGGCCACTTTAGGTCTATTTAATATCGTTAATACGCAAAAAGAAGATGGTAGACAAGGACCAGTCGACCGAGGCGGTACCACCCTATAGCTGTTCCCAGGGTGTCTTATAAATGTCCGCATGTTTCCACACCTAAGCTATGCAGTCGGTTATCTACCAAAATAAAGAAATTAATGATGATGGATCCCTCGAGTACTAAGAATTCTGGATGTAAGTTCACTCTACTCTCAGTATGTCCGGGTGGAGGGTGGACTCGAGGGAACAACATCGAAGATAAAATTTGTTTCACGAACATCTGCGGGATTAACAGCAACATTGATGCTGATCATTACTACTTGCAATCTAATCGGCCTGCCATGCTTTTCTTGGTGAAGACGAAAATCTCAGAGTCCACAGCGATTAACCATCTTAGCTTACCAAATTACGAGGTGCACTCCAATCTGAGAAAGAACGGGGGAGTTGTGGCCTTTGTCCGCAGCAGGAAAGACTGCTGTCAAACTCGACTTCCTGAACATCAATCACCCCGCTTCAGAGATAGTTCTTCTCGGTGATTTCAATGACCATAATTTGCTTTGGTTGGGCTCAAACAAGACCGATGCAGCAGGTCGTGCGGTTAAAGCGTTCGCTCTTACTCAAGGGCTGACCCAGCTGGTGACGGGCTCTACTTTTATTGCCCCGCGTCTCGTCACATGCCAGCATCCTGCTGAATTCTCTTTCTCCTGGGTAACTCAGACGATGTGTTGTGGAGGTTAGGTTTCGGTCAGAACCCGCTGTTTCAGCAGAAACTCGCACAGGCCGCAAAATTTGTCATTAAGGACATGCCGACTGGGAGGGACTCAGAGACTTCTTCTCTATCTTTCCTTGGAGAAATGTCTGTTTCACTGACGCGGATGCGTCGGCTGTCTGTTCTTCGGTAATCGAAATTATCCACGTTGGAATGGAGAAATACAAGTTAAATTACTGCCACCGAAATACTTGTTTTTAAAAAGAACCTTATTTTGATTAACGGTACAAAAGGACTTTTGTGAAACCTTGTCACGACGATGCGTAAAAAAGGACGGTTAGACAAGAAGTGACAAGATTTCCTCACACGTGGATTTAGTGCAATGCAGTAGAAATATAATATGCTGATACAGAGGATGTTAACATGTGAACTTCAAGGCGCGAGATAAGATTCCATAGCGTAGCGACAATGCTAGCAAGAAATACAAGTACCAGGTAATAATTATAATATTATATAAAATACAGGATGATGATGGATATAACTCCTCCCCCCTTAAACTCTTAGAACGTCCTCGTTCTTATCGATCTCAATAGACTGATTTGACTTTCGAGATGATTTTTTCTCTTTACAGAACTTTTTTAATTTTACCACAAGCACAAACAATATAACGACAAATACACCTATTATAAGAGTGCTATTTATATGAGAATGGTAATTTTTAAACTTAACTGGTATAATTTCTTTCATCTTGTGCAAATTTTCCTTAATATCTGAAAAATCATTGCTATTAATGTGGAAACGAAAACTCGTTACCTCCAAAAATAAGAAGAAGCTGTTTCGGTATCTAAGAACAAACCTGAATTCCAAAGTTTCATCACCTCAGATCCGCGACGCTGACGGTCATCTACACATGGATGCCACCGAATCTGCCAACTTACTGTCAGAGTCCTTTAGTGATGACGTCGTCGATGAGCCTAATGGAGACCTTCTACCGACCACTATCTTCCATAGGTGTCCCAACAGCCTTTGCGAAGTTGAGTTCCTGCCTGAAGATGTATTAGTGCACCTGCGAAATCTGAAGACCTCTTCCTCCCCTGGTAAAGATGGGATGACGGCTGCTGTACTTAAAAACTGCGCTTCAGCACTTGCCCTACCATTAAGCTTGATATTCACATCGTCTTTTAGATCTCATACCCTACCCTCATGCTGGCTTAGTGCTTCTGTTACCCCCGTATTCAACAAGGGCAACAAATCCTCCGCTAAAAATTATCGACCAATAAGTCTCGTTCCTATCGCCGCCAAAATAGCTGAAAGAATCATATTAGATAAGCTCCTGTCATTTGCTTTCTAAAATGACCTTATCCCTAAGAATCAGCATGGATTTCTCCCTGGTCGATCAATAATGACCAACTACAAAGACTCCTAGAGCTTTCGATCGCGTACCACATAGAAGGCTTCTGTTTAAGTTGGAATGTATGGGAATAAGAGGCGAGTTGTTACTGTGGATTAAGCCTTTTCTCACCGGGAGGACTTTCTCTGTGCGCGTCAGTGATAGCCAGTCTCACCTTCATCATGTAGCAAGTGGAGTTCCTCAAGGCTCTGTCTTGGGGCCAGTGCTGTTCCTTCTGTATACAAGTGACCTGCCCGCATTGATTTCCTCCACATGTTCAGCTTATGCCGACGACACCAAGATTTACAATACTGTCGTAAATTCTGCTATGCTTCAACGAGATCTTGATATTGTTTGTCAATGGTCAGTCAATTGGCTTTTACCCTTAAATCTAACTAAGTGTTGTGTCCTTCACCTCGGGAAGACAAATCCGCGATTTACATACAAGATCTCTGACCACAACATCGAAGCAGTTTCCAGCCACACTGATCTGGGCGTCGTAGTCAACGATCGTCTTTCCTGGTCAGAGCATATTCACCACGTTACATCAAAAGCCAAGAAACTTCTATACATGCTGGAGAGGTCTTTCAAAGGATCCGATGTCAACACTTGCGCCTACATTTACAAGGCATTCGTGAGGCCAATTCTTGAATTCGCTGGCCCGGTATGGGACACTGTGCTTCTGCGGGATAGAAATCTCGTCGAATCAGTACAGCGTCGGGCTACTCGTATCCCTTTTGGAACACGAAGACCAAGCTATGAAGATCGCCTTGGATTATTCAACCTGACCTCATTCTCTGAGCGAAGACTTCGTGGCGATATTATAGTTACGTTCAGGATGCTTCATGGTTTGATGGGCACCAACCTCATGCATCTATACCGTCTGTCGCGCAGCAATCTACGCGGACACAGCTTCAAACTGCATAAGGAGCCATTTAAAACAACAGTCCGACAGTGGTTTCTTCCCAACCGCATATTCAACACCTGGAATAGTTTACCTGAAAGTGTGGTTGGTGCTACTTCAGTTAATAGCTTCAAAGTGCAGTATGATAGCTGGAGGAGTGTACAAACTTTATAGCTATGAACTGTCTTTTTTTATTTTTTTCTATTTGATGTATTTGTGTGACGTGTCCGTACACTATATTTACTGCATGAGCTTATAGTACTGTGTACTCTGCTCATCTCAATTATCATAATAATAATAATAACTATCTATCGTGTGCGTTGGCCCCAATGTAAGATTGGGAATATTAAAATCTAAGGCCTCCACTGGGATAATAGTGTCACGAAGGACATATGAAACATCGTTTATAACCAGTGTGCAGTTATTCCTAACAATATAGTTAGGTACCAATTAAAGTAAAAGGCTTGATTTCGCCATCACATTTTTCGAAAACGGCGACCTTGATGTTACTCGAAAATAATACTGCTGCAGTATCCTCAAGCAAATATGATAAACTTAAAGAATTCCTGGTCTTTACAATAATACAA